ACTTAAAAAAAAAAAAAAAAAACACACACACACACACACACAAACAAAAAATAATATTAGCTAATAATAATAATATTAAATAATAATAATAACATTAATAATAATAATAATATTAATAATAATAATAATATTAATATTAATAATATATTAATAATAATAATAATTATTAATAATAATAATAATATTAATATAATATTAATATTAATAATAATAATAATAATAATAATAATAATATTAATAATAATAATATTAATAATAATAATAATAATAATAATAATAATAATAATAATAATAATAATAATAAATAATAATAATAATAATAATAATAATATTAACAATAATAATAATATTAACAATAATAATAATATTAATAATAATAATAATAATATTAATAATAATAATAATATTAATAATAATAATAATAATAATAATAATACAATCAACCCTCACTTTACGCGGTCCCACATTCCGCGTTTACGCGGTGCCCTGCCGGAACCCAGGATGCCATTTCCGCGGTGCGTGTACCCCTTTACGCGGAGAGCGGCTGGCGAGCCGCGCCATTTGGATCCAACCTCGCCATCCGATGTTGTAAGCGGCGCGAACATGGTGCTACAAGGTCGCCCAGTCATCAAAACATTACCAGTTCTTCACCCGCACACCCACCACAGCTGCCCAAGTCAGTATAGTGATAATTATGGTGAGGATATGGACTTATATGGACTTTAGTTTGACAAAGAGGCCCTGCAAGCCTCTGTGGTGGATAGAGACAATTGATACAAGTGATACAGGTGAGGGCCACAATCCGCCCCTGCTCGGAACCAACCGCCTATCCCCGTGTGCCCAGCCATTTTTTCTACTAATGTAAGTAAAAACCTATAATATTGATATTTTAATTAATTGTGTGTGCATACCACATCAAGTTAAGATAATATTTTACTACAACATAGTTGTGTGTCACAAAAAGTGGAGTTTGGGGATTGGCCCGACTCATTTCAATCAATCCCATATGTTATGTTATTCACTTTATAGTGTTTCTTCACTTTACGCTGGACCGGGTTACATTAACACCGTAAAGTGAGGGTTAACTGTAATAATAATAATAATAATAATAATATTAATAATATTAATATTATTATTAATAATATTATTATATTATTAATATTATTAATAATATTACACAATTATTAATAATATTAATAATATTATTATTAATAATATTAATAATATTATTAATAATAATAATAATATTATTAATAATATTAATAATATTATTAATAATAATAATATTATTAATAATAATTAAAATAATAATAATTAAAATAATAATAATAAAAATAATAAAAATTTAGATAAGTAAAATTTATAATGAAAAATACAAAAATAAAAATAATAAAATAATAATGATTACAACAATAATAACAACATTGCAATAATAATAATAATACAGTAATAATAATAATAATAATAAAGAACCATAAAGAAATACAAAAATTAAAAAAAAGATCAAGAATGAGAAACAATATATGTATGTTGTGTTGTCAATGGTAAGAGAAACACTCGAGACCCTGCAGCTGTGTGTAAATGAGGCAGAAAGTCAGATCAGCAACCTGGGACTTGGTCACAATTTTCGTGATGCCATATGGCAGCAGGGTCTACCATTAGACAACACATTATGCTTCTAATATCTTCCCAGGCGGTAGTACCTCCCTGTTTGGTGGCTGCCTACTATCTACATGAAATATCTGTCATCAAAAGTTGTCTGTCTGTAATCATAAGTTTTAAAATAATCTCATTGAACCATAATTAGTGGGAATCCATGAAACTTGATAGAAGTTTCTGCAGTATTGTTCTGCTTTGACAATTTCTAGCACAATTACAGGCTTCTATTGTCTAATAGGCCACAACCAGGATATTTGGTCATCTTCAGAAGACTCACTATTTCACTAGATAGCAAGCAGAGAATGCACATAACAGCAAACATACATACAGTGGTGAAGATGTTACCATTCTCTGCATTTATGGAGTACCTGTCTTGAACTTCACTGAAAAGAGTGATCCTTATTCATCTAAATATTAATAGGTACTATTACCTCAAAAAGTTATGGCTATGTGGCAGCATCACAATTCGGGAGTAAACTTATGAATGAATCTGTAGTACTGTAGTCATGTAATGATGGAGTGGAAAAGATCCCTAGACAGTTTCACTTGGCAAAAAATGATAAATAGATGTTGGAATATAAACTCAATATAAACAATAGGTACACACATAAGGAAAAATACCAATATGAGTGAAAAGGCTTTAGAATGCATATGAGGAAATTTGTGTAATTCATGATTATCATACACCAAGAAGCTTCTTCATATAGGGACACTGGCGCTTTTGTAAATCACAATGAATCATGCAATGATTCAAAGTAAACCCTCAGAATATCAAAAGTGCCAGAGAAGGGATTCCTCGCCAATTTTCCTTCTTGCTCTTTGAATTCTAGCAAGTACATTTTGAGTTCACTTTCCAGGGATATCAGGTGTTGAGTGCTGGGTCAAACATGATCCTCTTTGAGCTCATCAAGAACAGTTGAAAGATTTTCAAATATGGCAACATTTCCTGAACTGACTTTCTTTTGTCAATCTGGAGCTTGGCAAGAAATGCTTGGAGACAGTCCATGAGGTGAAACATGTTTCTAAACTTGCATTGTAACTTGAGATTCTGCTGGTTTAGCTTCTCAAATAAATCTGCTAGGTATGCAAGATGTGGCTCTCACAAAACCTCATAGAAGTGACTCAATAAATCATCATCGCCTTGCACTTCCAGGAACATCTTGAGCTCTCAATGAAGTTCAAACACTTCAGAGTAATACAGGAGGGTGGTTTTTTGCTCTGAATCCATGCCTTTACAAAGCCTTTGGAAAAGGTGGAGTTCAGAGCTCCTGCTTTCACATAGTTGACGCATTTGACCACTACCTCCCAGATCTTCTTGCAAAGTGCATCAGGGAGGGTTTTTGACGCCAGTGCAAAGTGATGGTTGATTGATACAATGAACCCCCTTGGCATTCAGAACTACTTCCTTGACATGTAGACTCCCCAATAATAATAATGGCTTATATACAGCTCCTCCCCGACTTACAACCTATTTGACTTAGGACCACCAGCACTTATGACCTGCCTCAGTCGTACCAAAATTTTGCCAAATTACGTATTTTCAAGTCCCAACATCGGTGATCGCGCTGTGTACTGACAAAATTTTTGTTTGTAATTCACTTTAAAATGGCTGGCAAGCTTAAAAGTGAGAGTTTTGTGGTGCTGAGAAGAAAAAGAGACACCCATTTTAGATTTTCTATGTATTATTTAAGCATTTTTGACTTACGACCTGGATTTGGGTCCCTAACCCCGTCGTTAGTCGGGGAGAAGCTGTACTGAAGCCAGTTGTACACACAAAAAACTTCATATTTACAGAGCACGGGCCATCTGCTTGATATTCTCAACACTGCTTGGGTTGAGGATGTTGCAAAGCTGGAACAACTCAAATGACTCCTGGATCTTCCCTTCTTGCCTCAATATTAAGCCCTGGGAAAGACAAGACAGACGTCATGATAATTTATCAATACTCTGTACCTTTATTTGGATAAATATACTGTAAATCTATCCATTAAATAATCAACCTTGGGGTGTTTGTCCACCAACTAATCAGCTGCCTTGCTACAAACAGACCCTAGGCCTCAGTAGCTTCAAGTAAACATACTATAACTACATTAATACTGTACTTAGCCTACATAATTACTTATAAATGAAATTATCATTATTCTTTTAAGGTATACATGTATCTATTAAACGATTATCCTAACAATTAAGTAAAGCACTTTTCAAAGATTTATCATAAAAAATGTGGTCAAATTACATAATGTGCAAGAGACCAAGTAGCTGGAGAGATATCGTTAAAATAATCATGGCTAATCTCACAAAAATGGAAAATGGTCATAAAACATTGATGATGGTGATAATGATGTACTGTATCAATAAGATAAAATTGGGTTCACATTAAAAAATTTTAGTTATTGCATTTACCATTTTGTAATTAGGAGGAACATAGATTGAAACTTATCTGTGGACAATCCATTATAAAAATTCACTCGCATCCTTCTAAGTTCATATTTTTCAATATTCTGCTCAGTATTCCCTTTAATTTTTCCTCAGGAATTCTTTCAAGCAAGTTAGTCCTTTCTAAAATTTCTGCTGTGTAGGGGTGAGAGGTTAAAGAAAATATTGGGGTATAAAGAACACTTTTCATTCTAAGTTTTGGTGTTGATAAAGACAATTGCTGCCAAGATAGTACAGTACAGTACAGTACAGTACAGTACAGTACAGTACAGTACAGTACAGTACAATACAGTTCCCCCCCAATTGCTATATTCCAGTAAAAATCCAAGTACAGGTTGTACCTCTCTAGTCCGGCAACCTCGGGACCTGACCGGTGCCGGACCATGGAAATTGCCGGACCATGGAAATTCACCCTTTTCCTGGTTAGATAGCGACTTGTGCTTATGCCTGGAAGCACTAGCACCACTTTCTCTGCATCATGGTCTCTTTGAAGACATATTGAAGGGTTAAATGTCGTATAGTAGCTTCTCAAATTTCGCGAGTTTTAATTCTTAACATGTTTTATTGGAACACACAAAAAATAAATAAATAAAAATTTTGACAGCGGAAACTTGAATTTCGACGGGTTTGACAGCCCGCCAACGTGCAGACGACGTGCATAATCGTGTAAACAGGGTCATTTCTCTTATGTACAAAAGATTCATTATTGTTTATTACTGAATGTCTTTTTATTGAATTAATGTTTATATGTGCAAAATGAGCAATACAATTCATTAATAATACGTAGAACATTAAAACACACGAGGAAATGACACAGCATTGTTTTAGTTGATTACAAAACCAGTGACTGACTGGTTCTACATATAAAACTGAAGAAAAATAAGACCTTGATTTAGCTGTAGTAAAATATATATGGTTGTTTAAGTAATGTTATTTAATGTTAATAAATGGAACAATAGAAGTAGCTAAAGATAATGGTAAAAGAAAAGAGATACATATGTAAGTGTAGCATGCGCTACGTGGCTATATCGTCATTACTTTACATAAGAATATAAGCAACACTTATTTACTGTTCATATATATATTTTAATTAATGTTTCTGAATTTGTTTTTATTGAATTAATGTACGTGTGCAAAATTAACAATACAATTTATTAATAATATGTGGAATATTAGAGAGCCAGAGCGGCTGCGGCATTGTTTATGTTAAAGCTTACGAAACCAGTGACTGATTGGTTCTACATATAAAACTGAAAGACCCTGAGTTTAGCTGTAGTAAAATTAATGTAAAAAATGAATATGGTTGCTGAAGTACCTGTAATGTTATTTAATGTTAATAAATGGAACAATAAAGTAGCCTAACCATTAATGGTAAAAAAAAAAGTGAGACTGCTGTTATGTAAGTGCGCACATGTGAAAATATATCGTCATTACTCTACATAAGAATATGAAAGCAACACTTATTTACTGTTCATATATATTGAAGGGTTAAATGTTGTACTCTGTATAAACAAGCAGAGAGAGAGCAGCCGAACTGCCGGATGTAAACAAACCTTAATTTCCTGAGGCTTTTTTTTTTTAAGGGGATTAGCCCACCCAGGCATAGGTCACTGACCCACATTGGGGCCTGAGGGGCAAAAATTTAATACTCCTGTAATAATAATAATAATTCAGATAAAAAAAAAAAATAAAGCTGCCTACCTACCTATTGGACAAACTAGAATCGTTCCGGACCACAGAATGCCGGACTAGAGAGGTACAACCTGTACTGTGTCAGTGCCAATATGCTAAAGCACATTGGAAAATCCTACATTAGTTACATATTTATATGCTACTGGTATTTCTCCCCCTCTTCCTATACTACAACTTAACAATGAAAAAAAATCTATCTTACTAATAACTATGCAGTATTTCATTGCCTACTAATTGGGTTGTACAAAGACTTCATTGCTTCACAAGTGATCATTTTGTTTACTACTGTACAGAATATGAAAATATCATTGTTATTTCTGTTTTCTACTCACTCTCATTTTCAGACTTAATACCTTGTCATACCTCATTGACAAAGGATTACTGTATGTGAGTTAATGAATCTGAATCAACATAGATGAATCAGTGAATTTTAATTCTTCACAGAAAGAACATTTAATTATCAAACCCACAGGCCACTTGATGATGACACTTGGCCATCTATAGTATTTTTGTTTTGGTTTGAGGTGTTAGCAATATTAAAACCTGAAATAATGTTTAAACAAAGAACATCATGACAACAACCAAAAGGTATCACCTGAACATAGTTGGCGTACTCGCACATCCCACGTGTCTCTTCCAGCTGTTCTCGAATTAGCTGCTTGCAAAGGTCAAACTCTTTTCTCACATAGTGCAAATGAATCAACCAATTCCGTCGCTCCACTGTCTGAAGTTCAGGTGCTGCAATATCAATATTTCTTATAATGGGACAATTTATACTGGAACACACTGCCTTAATTAACAATGGCAGAACTCAAACATCACCTAGATAGGGCAGCTATGTGCTGTAAACAGTTTAACTCTCCCTATTATATTCAAGAACCTTATCAAAGGTCCCCCAACAAATACAGGTACTGTTATTCATGACAGAAGGAAAGTGATTCATGAAGTAGAGGTGCATCACCATGCTCATCTGTTATGGCTGCAACATGAGAAGCAGCCTAATACCTTCATTTCATATCCACCAACTATTGGCTTTGGATGTTTTACATTATCTACTATACACCAGCTCATTTTTTGCCTCCAGTTATCACCTTGTGGACTACAGTACTAATTCCTTGTAGCACTAATGAGAGATAATATTTTGGTTGGCCACATAACCTCTGCATTTTACCAAGGTATAGGGAGTTTTCTTATAACACTGCTTACAAGTGTATTAAAGAGTAGTTTTGTGTACAATATTATGCATTAAGCTTAAAGAATTTAACTTGACAGGTTAGCTTGAGGGGCTGGAATTGGATTCTACCTTTTCAAGATAATATGCTTGTCCAGAGTGAGAGCTTAGGTTTTTAGGAAACTGTGCAAGGACTTGTGGTTTTCCCAACTTTAAGTCAAGATTTAAATTTCTAATGAATCTTTCAGGATAAAGTATTTATCGTATCTCCAAACTTATCAGGTGTAGAGAACCACTTGTGTGACGTGTGTGTGACTGGGACTATTGAAGATTAACAGCTGGAAAACCAACATGGCTGATTTAAGCAGGATGATGGACACACTGTACTGTAGTCTCTTCACTTGAACCTTACAACTGAGGCCCAGAGTCAGTTTGTAGCAGGGCAGCTGATTGGCATGAGAAGAGTCACTACAATTATTAAGTATTTAATCTGTTGTACAGTGATAGCCCCATTAGCCGGAACAATTGGTGCAGAGCAACTCTGGGAATGAGAGATTTCTGGGTAAAGAGATGACTCTCTCAAAGCCGGAAAAAAATCTCTGATCCCTGGAATTTTCCGGGTAACGGAAATTTTCTTTCGGAATTTCCAGAAAATGCGCCTGATTTTCATCTCTCAAACCCAGAAAAAACTCCTCCAACCCTGGAATTTTCCGGGAATCGGTAAATTTTTTTCGGAATATTCCGGAAAATGTGCCCCCTCAGAAAATAATTCCCACGACATGAATTTTCCGGAAAATTCCGGCTTTGGGAATGATTTTCCGAGAAAATTTTAGTTCCGGCTATCAGAGAGTTCCGGGTTTGAGGGATTCCTGATATTTTAAGGGATATTAACAATTCTATGTTGATCTTTGATAATTTCTGCACTTGGGGAAGCAAAAATTATCCTGTTAAATACACTGGTAAAACATCATAAAGAGAACAAAACACGATGACAAACATCTGAGAAGTCAACTCATTGCTGCGTGGTGGAGAATGTTGCTGAAACTTTCTAATCTTTTCCTCTTAATAATATTTATGTTACCAGAGCATTTAACAAGATAATTTTTGCTTCCCCAAGTGCAGAAATTATTAAAGCTCAACACTAAACAGTTACTATCCCTTAAAATATCTGAGATATGAATACTGTACACAGATTAAATATACGAAGTGACTCTTCACGTGTCTTTCTGCCAGCCAATCACCTGCCTTGCTACAAACTGACCCAAGGCCTCAATTGTAAGGTTCAAAGTGAACAGACTATAGTTGATGTGACATCAGATGCTTATTCAGGCCTCCTCCCCTAGTGTCTATAAGGAAAAAACATTGTTTCTATTCTCCACTTCAAGGCATTGTCTGTAATATGGGAGGTAAACAAATGTATGATCTGTCCCAGCAACTATAATATTTACACACTAACCTGGCCCGTAAGCCACGCCCCTCTTCTAAACTAATAGCTGATTGGTTCGTAAAAAATTCAAACTAAATGTGTCCACAATTGGTAAGCAGACATGTTATTATCCAAAATAATGTTAAATATCTGAGCTATCAAAATGCAAATGATTTCAAGGCATTAGCACTTCAGAGAGGATGTTTGAAAATTATTAATATTTATCATAATAGGTCAATAAAAGACACGCTGGTACACGTGCCGTCCGGGGGGAGGTAAAACGCTCAGGGGAACCAATCGGCTAATTGAAGCTACAGACGAGGGGCATGACTTATGGGCCAGGTTAGAGTGGAAAGGGTATTATGTCATGTATCCTGGGTCTAGACCAAAGGCTTGGTTTTGCACTTCTACTTGAACCACTCAATGATGGGCAAGTGTCCATAAATATTTGGAAAATACAGTAAAAGGACGTGTAACCAACATTATCATCTGGTAACAATTTCTGTGAACTAGTTTGTAAACAGTATTGTACTGGTAAAAAGATGATGAAAAACTAAATAGACAACAGTATATTTTTGCTATATTGGTACAGTAATGTATGTCTCCTAAATAAATAGCTCTCTGTAAATTACAGCAACTATTTCAGTTAATGCCTACCTTTCCTCGGTCGTATCTTGGACCTTTGGGCAGAGCCAGGTGGTACAGCAGAGGTCGTCATCCCATTAACATGAGACTCAGGAGTTTCAGTCACAGGGTTCATGAGGGAAACTGGTACGTCAACCTGTGAGAAAGTAATTATTGGAATGTAAATAAGTTAAAGTAGAGAAAAATATAATGAAGGTAAAAACAGTAACACAGGAATGTAGTTCTAAAGAAAATACAGTACATGTAGTAAGTAATCATATGATAAATTCCTTTTATAACATTACAAAAGCTGTAAACTCAGTCATCATACATAAAATTAAATAACTTATAAATACATTATGAACAAGTTACAAGTACGTACAGGAATACTTCGCTATTCACAAACCCACTTATCTGCAATTGATATTTTAACACCCCTATTTCATATTTACAAAGCATACCCTGCTTATTTGCACAGAAAAATTACGATACCCGACAGCATTATTTCAAACCGTGCAGGCTGGTTGCAGCTCTCATATTCCACTGTAAGGTCCACTTCACACAAACGTGTATTTTTTTGGCAAGGTATAGAAATTTACGAAGTTCAATGGGACCGTTCAAATGGAGCAAACACATGAACATAAATGCACAGGAGACGCTCATCCCACGCCTGTACAATACCTGCACCAAAAATACAGTACCATATTTTATGGCATATAAAGCCCCGTCCACACTGTCGGACAGTGACTGGCGGACAGTCGGGCATGACTGTGATGTTGTCCACACTGCTGAGTAGGTGGTCAGGCAGTAAAGTCGGGCAGTAGCCAGTAGGTGGTCGGCAGCCCCTGAGTGCGGTACCACCATGCGCAACACAGTTGGAAAGAAGAAAATAGCGCTGTATAGCATATTAATTGCTGTATTTGTAAAAAAGAAAAGTAGGGACAGAGTGCAGAAAACGATCTGGTGTAAAGCGTGGTTAAGTATGAGAAAAGTATTGGGAAGTCATGTGACGATATTACGTGAACTACAAGATGGAAGTGGGAGTGATTTCACCAACTACGTGAGAATGGATATCAACGCCTTTTACACACTCCTAGCTAAAGTGGAACCATACATAGCAGAGGAAGATACCCATATGAGGCAGAGTATACCAGCATTATGTGGTAGATGAAACATTAGGAATTTAGGATGGATCTCCAATTATTACTGTTTTTAATACATGTAAAGGATACTATATTACAATAGTACTGGAAAGTTCAATACATATGTCTGTACTGGCATGTTGAATAAAATGTATTAATGGGTCTTAACATACCTTTAGTTGCACCTTCACCGTGATATGTGTACCTGATTATCATCATTATCATCCATACCCCATTTCCCTAAAGAGGGGTGGGGAGGGTTTTGCTGGGAGAGAAGGTGAAACATTCAAGTAAGAGTGAATCAATAGAGTGCCACACTGGCCACACATCCCTTTCACACATATTCCTGTGGAATTATCAGCCCCTTCATCCTGTCTGCCTCCAGAGCTAAAGCCCTTTCATAATGAGAGAGAAATATATATATATATATATATACAGGTACAGTGGGGTATGCTATAACGAATCTAATTGGTTCTAGAACCTCGTTCGTTATAGCATTCGTTCGTTATAGGATTAATCCGTTCCAGGCCCCCAAATACAACCACTTAACACTGAAAAATTTCTGTGGAAATTGTAAAAAATACGGTACTTTATCTTACCTTAGTGTTGTTCAGCATGCAGGACAGGAGGCAGAGGAGGGGGGGAAGAGAGAATTATGGAGAAGAGGTGGAAGGAGAGGAGTCATCCTTCCTAGCCCTCTTTGGTGACTGTCTTACAGGCACTTTGTCTGTTTATTTATAATTTCTTTCTTAGTTTTAAGGGTTATTAGCTTTCTCACTCGCTTTTGACGATTCAGTGTTATAATTGTACACTTGTATAACAAAATAGTTATAAAAATAACACGAATTTCCACATCAAAAGACGAAATTTCAACAAGTTCAGTGGTGCACTGACTACACAATGAACCAATATGGCGCCCGACGCTCTTGCTGTGAGCCGCGGTACAACAATATTCATGCGCCAGACGAAATAGTCCCGTATTCATCCGCGTTCGTTATAGCATTCTCAATTTGATAGGTAAAATCGTTCGTTATAGGAATATTCGTAGTAGAATCCGTTTGTTATAGCATACCCCACTGTATATACAGGGTATATATATATATATATATATATATATATATATATATATATATATATATATATATATATATATATATATATATATATATATATATATATATATATATATATATATAAAAAAAACACACACACACACACACACACACACACACACAACACAACACACACACACACACACACACACACACATCATATATATATATATATATATATACACACACACACATGATAAACTATAGTGTAATAATATTTCTAATCGTTGGTAATTATCTTCAGGGTGAGTACACTGTGCTCACCCCTGAAGATGTGAATTACACGAAAGCGCTTGGGAACTAAGTGTTTTCTTCCTTCCTTGTGGTTATCAGCATATACCTGGATCATGCACACCTACAGTGATTTACTTGCCATTGTTGCATAAATTATAAAAAGGATGGACACATAATGAAGATGGTCAACACATATGAGTGGTGACGATCGGTCCCATTATGACTTTTGTTGTGGTCACAGAAACTTAAAACCATATTGCATGTACCAGAAGGTTGTTCTTAAGCAAATACAGTCAGTTCTGCTATAACGCATGTTTTGTCAATGCGAATTGGCTGTAACGCCGCATTGATGAATAGAAGAACGATATTTGTAAAACGCGAACTCGTGTTGGCTGTAACGCGATTCACCTTTAACGCTTATGTACAGTATTGTCGCCATGCCAGGTATGCAGTGTTTACAGTTCACATTCGACATCACATAGCGTTTTACACCCGCGCTCTCTGTTTACGTCACACATGATCAGTTTGAAATGCGTGGGAAGTTTCGAAGTGTCCTCAGTGATTTTTGCTTACTGTTTCTCCAATTTTGTGAATATGGAAAAGAAGAATATCTCCAGGAAACGTTCTGGTGATTGCATTTCCGGTGGTGATCGTAAAAGAAAGGCTATAACACTTGAAGAAAAGCTTGATGTTATCAAGCCGCTTGAAAATAAGGAAAGAACATGTGATATTGTGCGTTAAATTTATTTAGACTGAGTTATCCTTTGTGTTAGGCTAACTACTAAATTTTTTTCGATTTCGATGAATCTGTACCTAACCTCAATTTTCTCCATAAGCCCTGTTATTTCTATTATGCCAATTTCTACAACGCAATATTTTACAAGAACACAACTATCGCGTAAATAGCAGAACTGACTGTAATTCCTAAAATTTTATGTAGAAATCTCTTTGTAGATTTAAAATTTAATACTTAATGTGGTTGATATTTGCATATACTGTACAGCTCCTCCCCGACTTATGACCACCTGCACTTGCAACCTGCCTCACTCGTACCAAAATTTTGTCAAATTACGTATTTTCTAGTCCCAACGTCAGTACACAGATAAAATTTTTTGTTTGTAATTCACTTTAAAATGGCTGGCAAGCTTAAAAGTGAGAGTTTTGTGGTGCTGAGAAGAAAAAGAGACACCCATTTTAGATTTTCTATGTATTATTTAAGCATTTTCGACTTATTTACCTGGATTTGGGTCCCTAACCCAGTCAGAAGTCAGGGAGGAGCTGTAGTAGAGTACTGTACAGTACAGTAATTATCTGCAATAATTTTGAAGAGGAGAAAAGAAGAATTCAGTGTTCAAGCAGAAAACATTATTCTACTTGTTGAACTTAGTAAAGTGTGAAGCTGGTTATGAACTTACCCAAAATCCTATAAACAACATGGACCCCTGGAGGGTACTTTTCTAAAAATTACCGGGTATGTTTACAGACTATTTTACCTTACTGTACAGTATTCAGTTTCTGTCACCTCAACTGATGCATAATCTGTGATAGTAAACTACACTACAGTGCCAGTGACCTCTGCTACACCATGTTAAAGAAATGTGGAGTTGAGAATAACAACAGAGCACTTGGAAAACATGCAGTACTTCAGTAATGATCAGCTAATGTTGAAAGAAAAGTTAAAATTTTCTGTCCAGCTGTTGTAGAAATGCACGACAGTTAACCTACAAAGAGGGTTTGCTGGTGATACTATACTGTACAGTGGTAGTGGGTTCAAGTCCTCGGGTCGGATGCAAGAAGGGTGTTATCTAGTGTGACCCTACCAACCATTAGAGGTTTTCTCCAGGAACCTCAGTCTCTTCCTGTACAATACTAACACTGGATAATGAGGTCATACAAAATTAACTAAGAAAAGACTCACTGCTCAAATGGTTAGTTAGTTGGTGAGTGGTGGAAATGATCTATTAAAAAACGAGGAAAAAGTTAATACAGTATAACTGTACACAACCTAAACTGATGGGGTTGAAAATGACCATGTACTGGTACAGTAAATTAAATTTTGACAACAGTATTTTATCTACAATAAAGAAACTACTGTATATACAGTAACTGCAAACTAACAAATTATATGAAAAGTCTGCCGTTACCTTTCGGTTTGGGTCGAGATGCTCCGGCAAAAGAATAACCATAGATCCGCCTAGGCCATTATTAGCCATCCTCCACTGGTATAAGATCCCAAAGATCTACAAATGTTAGTCCAACTCCCTGTCCAAGGTACATATAAACTGGCAGGCAAGTGACAAACACATTGTGTTCTGGTCAATACACTTCATACTATCTTATATTGATTTCCAATTCATGGTCACAAGAACTGAGGACCTATGACAAACAATGATAAATAATATCAGTTTATAAATTGAAAAACATCTGTTAGTGGTGTACCACCACAGATTACTGTACTAAAACTTTAAAACAGATTATCAGACACAGCCAAACACTCCAAGGGCTTGGCTGGGCCATGCACATCAACAGCTCAATGGTGTTTGGGTGCCATTATGGGAAGGACTGGTTGCCAAACACTGTACTAATAATCCTCATATCACACAACAGATATTCCTGCTTCATTTATTTCTTAATGCCCCACAACATGAATATAATATAGATACAGTACCTATGTTAGGTGACACAACTAATCATATAAAAGAGCACCTGAGACCACAAGCACCATAAAAAGTAGTTGGCAACTTGTTATTGACTAAAAGGGAGGTACGCCAGCTCTCACCTGCACACATCAAATATTTAAGTGCACCAACAGAGGAGGCAACATTTATATTTATACTTCTTATGTTTTAATGAATAAAAATAATATCTAATAAAATATGACACACAGTTTCACACAACAAAGGACAGTTAAATGATAATACAGTAATAACTGACAAATCCTACTAACCAAATTTTGGCCCTCCATATTCTGTTGATTGGTTAATAAAATCAATACTACAGCATTCCCCCAATACAGTGTGAGGTACGCAGTGTTCAGCCCTATCATTACTTCATGTACACCTTCAAATTAAAGATCTTTACCTGCCTGCATATACAAATATGATTCTTAAACTTCTAATTATGCAAGTTATATACAGTATATACTGTACTGTACAGGTATAACTGTACTGAACAATATACGTACTGGTCATGGGAAATTTCTCTCAAAATACTTTTTAGCTATGGACATGCTTATAAGCTCTACATTTGTGTTAAGAGGTGGTAATTACATAAGCCAGTTTTCAAAAATAAATTTACTGGTTGCAAAAACGGTAAAAAATTTAAAACTTTTTCACATCTGCATTTTATGGAGACCCTGCAGCTGATGCACACCAACTTTAATCTAGACCTTGACTCTCACAAAGTGAGAAGAAATTCCCCTCCCCTACACCAGGGATCAGAGTACAGTACAATAATTCAAATAGTAACTGAAACAACGAGTTACAGTACTACTGTTCAGAGCAGACAAAGAGCCAGTGAATGAGCTAAGACTGCCGGATCAGCACACACCATATTATGGCTTACTTTTCCCAGTCATAGTCTAGGACCAACATGTCATTCATACTTCAGTTCCAGCTGACTACAGTAATCTACTAAACCAAGGAAGGAGGGAGGTACTGTATCCAGTTACCCAGATCAGTCTTTCATTTCCAGCTACAGTATCCTCAAAGCCAGGTGGCTCACAATCAAGGGCCAGCGAGACAGAGGAGAGAAATGTTACGACAAAAACTCAAAGGACTAGACAAATGAGCACCTTTAACAAGTTGACCTTTCTTATACTGTACTGTATATTATATTAAGGTTTGAAGGTGTTAATTCCTATCTCTTCTGTTACTGTATTGTTGATACTGAATTCAGGAAGGAGCTTCAACAACTAAGGCTTTATTGCCCCTAAATTGCCATCTCTATAATCATAGTCCTTATGAGTTATCCAGGAGCCATGGAGAAAGAAGATCCTCACAGACAGTATATTTTAGCTGCTGCCTTTATTACTCAATTACATTAAGGTTTGATCCTAAAAGTAATTTTCTACCAGGGCCAGTGAAGAACCGCTCAAAAACGTACAGTACATGCAGGCTTTTGGGGGTTTCCTCAGTATACCCGTTCTTGACCATGGTGACTGGTAGTAACCCAAAGACCACACACTGACAGCTGTTACTCAAAGCAAGAGAGTAGATGTCACAGTTTATCCAAGGATACAAATGTTTGACGAGTCATGACAATGTCTAGCTCATTCTTTCTACCGCATAGATCACAACTGATTTTACAACATCATTATACACTAGGTTTGCAGGAACAACCCATCACTACAGCCAACTTCCATGGACAGAAATCCTGTAGAGATAATGTGTCTTATTGTTTAAAGTACTTAATCCCATAGTTAGAATCTTAAGGTTCCCCAGATGACCAAAACCAAAATAATACCAATATTGTTTGGAATGTTTATACAGTCTCTCCTCGACTTACGACATATTCAACTTACGACAACCCGGACATACGACTGCCATGGTCGTATAAAATATTTTTCACATTACGTATTTTTGAGTCGCGACGTTTGGTCGTAATGTGATGCCGTGCGACAGCTTGGGCTGGGCTGCCTCGTGGTGTACAGCATCCACGCCATAGCCCGCTCAGTTGGTGTTTGGCCGTCGTTGTTGCTGTTAGTGATCGCGCTGTGTACTGAAAAAATTTCCGTTTGTAATTCCCTTTAAAATGGCTGGCAAGCGTAAAAGTGAGAGTTCTCGTGGTGCTGAGAAGAAAAAGAGAGTCAATTACTTTTGAGATTAAAATGAAATATGAAAATGGAAAAACGGTAGCAGCCATTTCACGCGAACTTGGCTTCTCTCTCGATGATATCAACAATTTTGAAGGACAAGGAACAAATTCGTGAGGTAGTGAAAGGATCAGCACCTATAAAGGGAACAATAATAACGAAAAAAAGACAAGGTCCTCTTCATGAGATGGAGAAACTACTTGTGATGTGGATGGAAAATCAGTTGCAAAAGCATGTACCCTTAAGCCTTCTAACCATACAGGCTAAGGCAAGAAGCCTTTTCCAAAGCCTGAAAGAGCAGGCAGGAGATGAGTGCGACCAAATCTTCACAGCAAGTCATGGGTGGTTGCAAAGGCTTAAGAAACATTACAGTTGCACAGTGTAAAGGGGAGTGCAGAGGCAGCAAGTGCTGATGTGGGTGCTGCCGAAGGAGGAGCTAGATCGTGTCATTGTGGAGGGAAATTATTTGCCTGAGCAAATATTTAATGTGGATGAAACTGGCTTATTCTGGAAGTGCATGCCAGAACGGACATACATCCACAAAGAGGCGAAAACCATGCCAGGATTCAAGGCATTCAAGGAGCGAATCACACTTCTTTTGGGGGGGGATGTAGCTGGTTTCAAGCTAAAGCCCTTCATGATATATCATTCAGAGAACCCAAAGGCTTTTAAACATGTCAGCAAGCACACACTGCCAGTGTTTTATCGCAGTAATAAGAAAGCATGGATGACCCTAGCACTGTTTGACGATTGGTTCCTGACTTGTTTCATTCCACGTGCCAAGGAGTATTGTCTGCAACAAGGGATTGCATTCAAGGTTTTATTAGTTTTGGATAATGCTCCGGGACACCCACCACACCTGGACGACCTGCACCCTGATGTTAAGGTAGTCTACATTCCACCTAACACTACCTCTATCATCCAACCCATGGATCAAGGTGCTATTGCTGCTTTTATAGCGCATTATTTACGTATGACCTTCGCTCAGGCTGTTGCTGCTACTGAAGGTGAGAAAACGCTCAGAGAGTTTTGGAAGGACTACAGCATTTTGAAATGTATAAAGAACATAGCTGTAGCATGGGATGAGGTTACAGGTCAGTGCATGAATGGAATATGGAAGAAAGTCCTGAAAAGATATGTGAACAGTTTCAGAGGATTTAATGAAGATGAAGCAATTTCTGAGATTAGTAACAAGATAGTGGAGTTGGGTAAACAGCTGGAGTTAGAAATTGATAATGAAGATGTTGAGCAGTTGGTTAAAAGTGTAACAGAAGAGCTAAGTAACGAGGATCTTATTGAAGTGGATGCACAGAAAATTGCAGAAGAAGAGAGTCAAAATGTAGAAGAAGAACCTGCACCCCCCAAAAAATTTTCAGTGAAACAAATGGTAGAGGCATTTGCCACTATTAATAAGGGGATGCAAATGTTTGACGAAATGGATCAAAATGTTGAGCTTTTATCAAAAGTTGACAGAATGATCCAAGATGCACTTGCTTGCTACAGGGAAATTTACAATGAAAAGAAAAGGCAAACTGTGCAGTCCAAATTGGACATATATTTTATGAAGTCCCCCACTGCTGTCTCCTCAAGCCCCACCAGTGCTGCCTCTTCACTCCCTAAAGATGATCCAATACATTCAACAAACAAGAATCCCCTGTATATTAACCTGCCTGAAGAAAGCGACATTAATGACCAAACCAGCCCTGTCTCCTCCTCTGCTTCATCCAATTAATGTAGTCTCCATGTTTAATTAGAAAATTATGGGGGCCCCGTGTGCATTCAGCTGACTACATTAAAGGTAAGTGCACAGTAACACTGTAATCATTCTTCATTTTTTATTACTTTTACTGTACCGGTACTGTATTTCATTTCAGATTTTCTATGTATTATTTTTTGCATTTTCGACTTACGACTAATTCGACTTACGACCTGGATTTGGGTGGAAGAAGTGGGAGAAAATCCACTGGTAGGACCAAAATCTTTCCCAATTTTGGTGTGGCCATCACTGCATTCATGACGCCAAATTACTTACAGTTTTGTCTCAAGAGCCACAACCTTCCGTGGTTTTTTCGGTGTAGTACAGGTAGCTGAAGATTCAGTAGAACGTTTGGATGCCATTACAAAAGAAGTTGAAATGAAATAATGTAACGAATACACACAGATAAAGAGAGATCACTTCACACACACACAACGAATGGAGGATGGAAAGATACGGGATGGAGGTGGGGTATGATCTCTCCCCAAGTTGGCTGTGCCAGCTGACTCCTGGCATGAGAGATTTGAATTTTTACCCAGACCCAAATTCGTATAAGCAGGGGAAGCTTTTGTTTCTCGAAATAGTGGTGTCAATTTAATAAATTCGTATAAGAGAATATTCACATCCCGAACGTTCATATCTCGAGGGATACCTGTATATTATTACAGATTTTACCTAAAATTCTGCCTTATTTATGTGATGGACTTGCAAAATATGCATCGGTGAACCTGGTTTCTTACACAACTAAACATGTTTATGCAGGACCAAGATATAACAATATTAACAGATTTTAAGTGTGCTAAACATGTTTTCGTGGGATTATATATTCAATCTTTTTCAAGTTAGTTTCACATGATCATTTGGAAAATTTATGCATGCACAAAAATTTTAGGTGTTCAGGCCTCCATCATGACCTAAACACCAGAAACAAGACGAGAATCACTGACAAAACACAGAACACACACAAAAAAATATACGTATAAATATTAAAAAAAAATTCTCTGCTATCGGTTAAATAAGATAAGCTTTTGGTT